ATGTTGATTCTGCTGCTTTAATACAGCAGCTTTAATACAGCAGCATAATCAACATAAATATTACGATAGAAAAAATGAACCAAGCGACATGTCCCGTGCGATAGTGGTAAATATATAATAAAACAAGTCAGGAAGGTCTAAGTTCGGGTGTAACCGAACATTTTATACTCTCGCAACTTGCAAGGATCAAAGCCCGGAAATTACTTCAGGTGTTGGCAAAATTGTATATTACAGGAAGTACTGATCCAATTCAACCCATTTTTAACGCAAAAGCATACTATTATCGAGAGCTTCATTTATTAATTTTATTATATTAATTATGTATCTTACATATTGACCGATATTTTCGATAATAATTCAACTACTTGTATAGGCATTGGGGTCCACATATTCAGTACCTAGGGGCTTGATCAGTTTTGGTCCGATTTAGACAATTTTTGGTCATTGTTGCTTGATTTGCATAGTGGAAAGTGAAAGAATCAGATAGAATTTAAAATGGTGTTATATAGGAAATAGGCGTGGTTGTAATCCGATTTCGCACTTTAACATAGAAATATGAGAATAATATTATGCACCGAATTTGGTTGAAATCCGTTAAGCAGTTCCCAAGATATGGGTTTTCACCTAAAAGTGGGCGGTGACTCGCCCACTCTCAAATTTTGAACGCTCTTCCTATAAAGTCATCTCTTACCATTTCAAAGATTGATTTATCACACTATCGATAGAGGTGCTAAAAATATTTGTTCTCAGTGAATTTTGTTATTATAGCTTTAACGGTTTAGGAGATATGCACATTAAAATTTAAACTGCAGATGCCCCTCTCTAATGTGATCCTGTATACCAAATAACAGTATTGTATCTTATTGCGGAGCTTAGTTATGGCAATTTATTTGTTTTTGATTATTGGCGTTTTGTGGGCGTGGCAGTGTCCCGATTATGTCTTACGGTACCAAGAAACATGTGTACCAAGTTTCATAAAGATATCTCAATTTTTACTCAAGTTACAGCTTGTACCGACGGACGGACAGACAGTCACGCGGATTTCAACTCGACTCTTCATCCTGAACATTTATATATACATAACCCTATATCTAACTCGATTAGTATTAGGTGATACAAACAACCGTTAGGTGAACAAAACTATTATACTCAGTAGCAACATGTTGCAAGCCTATAAAATCCAATTTATTGCTGTACTTTTGCTGAACTTTATAACTTTTAACTTTGTATGAAGACGAAGTTTGCGTTTCCAAAATTAATTTTTAAGTAATCATTTTACTTTTCGTCAAATTTTATTTATCTTTATATAAAATAAATGTATTTAGTTTATTCCCCTAACTTGGTTCTAAATTCGGTATTCAATCCTTAAATGTGTGTTTAATAATTTGCTTTGAAATTAGAAACAAAGGATATATAAATACAAAATTTACTTAATGTATGTATAATAGCTGTTAAACTTAACTTTCTTCAAACACTTCATGGTTATGATCAACCGAAATCTCTATTTTATTCTGATTTTTAAGGGAGCCAGTAAGAGATAAATCAAAAACATAACAAGCAAATTCAACACAAGCAGCTTGCATAAGTACGTGCCTTCAAGTTTAAGTAGTTTAATCATCTTTAAATTATGTATTATATATTGTTACATAGATATATGTACATATAAGTGACCATTATTACCACGAGGGTGTCATCGGTTTCGGCATGTAATAAGTGAGTCATTGAAGTTTCATACTCAACTATTTCCGCAAGTTTTTTGTAAAACCCGAGTAAACAAGAAGTAAATTCAATAGAACTGTGTGGGTGTGTTAATAATAGCAAAAACAGCATTTCCTGGTGGAAAAAGCACTGATGGATTACTTATTACAACAACAGCTTGTTAGCAATTGCTGATGGCAACACGGATGGGAATAATGAAAAGGATTGGAAGAAAATTATGATAGCAGGAGCATGAGTGATTAGTAGAAGACTTCATTGCGAATAATCAACTACAATTTAAAGCTTAAAAAATACACCATACCACTAGTAATTGATTACTGAAAGCCGCTGAGTTTTATAACTGTGCATGCGTATCATGCCGAGGTAATCAAATCAATTGGCTACTCGTGCGAATCAAATCAGACAGCTGAAAAGTTCGTGTCCTTTTAAAGAAATACAAATGACATGTCGCGGTGTCTTGCTGAAAACATGTTGATGAGTGATTACTTTGTATTCCCCAGAGCCCTAGTAATACTCAACAAACCATTTTTGGAAACGGCCGCTTGCTTAACTGAATAACATTCTAGTTGTACCCTCTTATACAATGCCTTCAGCCTGGCTGGCAAGCTATGGCTATCTTTATCTTCGAAGAGAAGAATTTCTTTCAGAGACACTGGCCTATTACTGCTAAGCTTCCACTGATCGCCATGGCGTATGAGTATTATATTCTCGCACTTCTACAATTTCAAAAAACGCTTCTTGCTGTCAATAACTGTTTGCTCATTCATTTTAAAAAGTGGTTCGCTAAAATTGCCAGCAATGAAATATCGCTTTAAGGGCTATTAAACATCCCACGTTGCTCACTGTCCATCTCTAAAATCTGTTTGTCTGCTTGTGCTTTGAAGTTTTTAAAATATGCGTCGCTTTTGACATTGCTTCTATTTGTTTTTTATGTCCAACTATGGTATCTGCTCCTTGCATGCCGCGTCCATGTCAATGACAGATATTGCATTCCAACTACAAACAAACATTTCTATGTACATATGTATATAAGTATATGGCACGCATGGAGCTCATCGCATGAACACATCCATTTTACATTTTCATTCCGAATTTACGAGAATCTTTTCAACATATATTTTTTAGTTTACGACATTTCTGCTCTTTGTTTTGATTATCTTTCGCCAATATTTGCAAACACTTTTCTCCCCTCTCTCTTTGGATTGAGGAGCAAAGCAAGTAGTATGTGTAAGGCTTCGGCAGCAGCACATGTTGCACGTAATTGTACGTTGCGAACACCTCGTCACTTCCTGCGAAGAGCAATCAAAACGAGTACGCAGTTAAGAGCGATGTGTCTTAAGAGAAACTTTTTATACTCATTTACATTATCTAGTATTATTTGGGGTTACATATGCTTACATGTACTATATATATATGTGGGCACCTGTCTGTGGGGAACGCTTAGGCTATGTACAGATAAAACACTTATTCAAATTTAATTTTTTTTAATTTTAGTTACACCGTTTAATATTTTTAGGAGGTAAAAAAAAGGGATGTACGATCGATTTTGGGTATATTTAAGCTCACAATTCAAAAAACTATCAAAGATTTGGAAATATTTATTTCCATTTTACATTACAAAAATCAGAAAACGTGAAACACAATAACATATATATTTATAATGCCGGTTTTGTTTTGAAAAATAAAGTTACATCGAAGTAAAAATGTCAAAAGCATATGTTATATTTCACTAAAACTCCATTTATCAGCATTTCTTTTATAATTTTCCGGTGAACAATCTCTTTTTAATGACCAGCAGTAATCTGCCATAATATGACGATCCTCAACCATTTTTTCATCTACTATAAAATACCTTTCAACTTTTTCATACTAAGCTTCGGAAATGTTCTACAAATCTAATTAAAACAATGTCCTTCCGTATCGGCAGCTTTAAAAATTCCCTTTATCATTCCTAACTTGATCACGTACTAAATCACTGAGTTCATTTTGAGAAATTAACTTTGACGTAGATGTTTTAGCCCAACATTTACTTCCACTGGTAGATTGTACCGATTTCTAGAATGTTGATTCTGAGGAATTAAAACGACCTAATTAATATTGAGTTAAATATTGTACAGTCAAATATTATCAAACTGTATTAGAATAGCCTCTGGAATCTTTTATTTATAATATATTACAATTGTTCAAATGCTTAGTAAAATATAATATCTTAGCAAGATCGGGGTGGTGTCACGCCAGTAATTGGCTATTGGAACTGCTTCAGAAAATAGTTTGTTATTGAATTCAAGCCCTTCAAGACTATTATTCTTTTGTCCGAAATATTAGGAGAATACAAGAATATATAATCTAAATATGAACTAGTAATTTGTAACTTGAAACGAATAAAAGCTGGTGACTGCAAGCGCATTGAAATAATGGAAAGAACTGCGGAAAACTTTCCTCGTACGGTTACTTGGAGTATTACGGGAAGTTTGGGCGAAATTCATATACTCGATTGAAAATGCTATAAAATATGACACTATATTATGCATACACATTTCACTAAATTTACATCTCTTACCTGTGCGCAGATTTCCAGCCGAATTTATCCTTGCTTGTTACGCCGGCGTTGTTATCGTGTGGTCATTATTTTCTGAGATTACTTTTAACATTATCACGCCGTTTTACCAGGTCTTCAATGGCGCTCTCTATTAGCCCTATACAAGTATGCATGTACATGTATACAGCTTCGCTTAACCTGTTGCAAATGGCCTTACACATTTTTAACTTGTACACGTGGTCGAAGCCAAAGGCTGCACTACGCTATTAATATGTATGTGTTTGCACGTAGATGGCTTACCAAGGAAAAAGCTGACGGCGGACGACTTCGCATATAGTTTATATTTACCTTCGGAAGTCAAGGTGGCCGGCACAGCTGTTCTATGATATGTATTCGTACAGCTAGCTACCGGGTGGCCAAGCACTCGTGACACCCATCTTCAACCCTGCTCGTGTTTGCAGACATAATATTGAAAAGTGGTGCCAGCAGCAGCCACCACCGCTACATTTGCTGTTCCACCTTTACATATCTATAACTGCTACATATGTATATACTCGTGTTCAAGGGAAAACGCGCGCCAAATATAAAGCCTCTTCGTGCGCCCACGTAGCCAGCTACATCGTTCGGTTGTTTTGCTACTACTACAACAACGACTACTGTTTTCTAACTCTCTTAGTTTCTTTGTATTTACGCTCTTTGTGTGAACTCTACACAATTTTACGCTATGTTTTTACATTCGCAGGCACTTGTTGTATTCGAAGCGAGATACACATCGCCCGACGATGCTGCTGGCAATTTTGAGCCGACCAATCTGGTGCGACCCATACAGGAGCAGCACAACATTAGCTGCAGCAGCCAAAGCTTGGACGATGATCAACAGATGCTTCTCGACATCGAGCAGAACATAGCTAATCTGGAGCGTAGTCTGAATCGAGGTAAAGGGAAAATTCGAATTTCAAGTAATTAAATGATGAAAATCGGTTGAAAAAAGTTTTAAAAAAATGCGCCGTTACTTACTGGCCTTTTTCTAATTAAATATGCATATGTTAAATAAGTTGCGAAATTTTAACGTTTTGCAATAACGAAAAAAGATGTAAGCAGAAATCAGTGTTTAATTAGTTGCAAGTGGAAACGGGTTTGAGCTCAAAAACATCAAAACCCGTGAATTAATGTGGTTTTTAAGCATACAAGTATATGGTGTTAAGAGTGAAATGGCAATATTCAAATGTAGTAAAAGAATCAAGTATAACAAGAAAGTTAGGAGGTGTTGTACAATAGTATTAATGTTCGTAATAGCAGTGGTTTCAATTAAAAATGTATTTTACAACTATGAAATTAGAAAAGTGTTTCTCAAATATTATATAATGATTTTAGACACGATTTCCTTACAAAAAAATAGGTTTAATTGTGTTAAAAAACATATTTGAATCAAAAAAAATTTTTATGCAATACAAAAGTACAATATTCGACTAATGATACTCTAATGCTACGAGCCAAAACATAATACAAAGGAATATTTAATACTTAAAGTATTTGCAAAGCTCGAGAAGGTTCCTCATGGTAACCTTTTACGAAGAAATCGAAAACTTCACAAATTTAAATACCGTTGAATATACATAGCAAGCTTCAGGCAATAAGCCAGTAATTATTTATGCTTTAGCTACCACGAAATGAATAATTGATGAATAAATATTAAAAAAAGTTTCGTTGAAAACCATTCATTCCTTTTGAGGCGCAAGGTTTTATTCAACAGAAAATGAAAAAATGGCACCCAAATCAGCATTGCTTATTAAAACATAAAGTGAAACGCACAATTTTTTAGTTAATGGCCGCACAATTTTACGGTACAAAAAGGGTTTTTGTATATTTTAAAGAAATGAAGAAATACAAACAAAGTTTAGTATTTGACTGAAGTACGTTCCTACTTCTACGAAAAAAGAGGGGAAAAGGAAAATTTTTGAGTTTTTTCTTCAAAGTGTTTGACTATAAAAACACTTTCACTTTCATGCCTGCTTTGTTTCCGGTTTAATAGACAACGAAGTTAGGACTATTAGCCAATGTACTTAGCCTTGAAGCAAAATAATTTCTGATAAGTTAAGATTAAACAGTGCTGTGTACGAAAAACTACGAAGTTCTAGTTATAATTTCGTCTTACGGTACTTCGTAACTGTAAAATTTCGGAAGCTGAAGTTGAAACATAGCCGAACAAAATAAGTCATAAAATTACCTTATAAAAGTAAATAACTATTCTACTCGTACATACGAAAAGTACTGCAAAGGCCTCATTAAAAATTATATAAATTTATGGTACATATAAAACAATTCAAAAGATATTTCTGTGACAATTGCTTTCACAATATTGGACCTTAAGATAATATATTTTTACCCTCAATACTTTTACTTCAAAGTATTCTGGGTTAAATTTTAAATAACCAGCTTAACTTTTTTAATTGAAACGTACCTTTCAATTTTTAATGAAAAAATTTTTCTGTAAAAGTGTAAATGTTGAAATAGTCCACATAAATTAATACCAAGACGTTGTTTGATAAATTAAGTGAAACGGTTAGTTTCGAAGTGAAACTAAACTTTAAGAAATAATGAAAAATAAAGCACTAACTAATTCCATTTAAGAGTGCGATATTCTCAAAATGTCTAAAATCAGAATTTTATTCAGTTCAATTACAGATGTAATTAAGCTAAGCTTTACTATCGAAATTGGTAATGCTCGTAAAATGAAAAAAAATGTGAAATCAAAAATAAACTAGAATCCTCATCTCCTCAATACATGTTGACACAAACTGAATCAAACCAACGTAGAAATGCCCCCTCCCACGTCCACGTCTCAGTATACCTCTCGCTTTCCCACAGAATCGGGTGGTCATGGTACAAGCGGCGCTGGAACCACCTCCAGCGGCAGCGAATCGCACGGCACACAAAAGAAGAGGCATCTGCTGCGACGAGTTATGACCGCTGCCCAACACAGCACCACAAGCGTCACCACAAACCGTCAAAGAATCGAACTGAAATTCGATAAATTTGGCAAATCACCCACAACGGGCCGCAGTGGCAGTATCACCACACTACTCACCACCACACCCAACTCAAATGCCCACCCCAACGCCAGCACCACCAACACCGCGACAGACAGCAAAAGCGCTAGCGCACTGGCCGCCGCTATGCGCGCCTCCGAAAGTCCACCGTGCAAGGAGAAGAAACTTTCTATGCGCACTGTGCGAAACCTTATGCGTCTGGGTCGCAGCAGACAGACATCGCAGTCGCGTGACAGCAGCACCGAAGATGAAGGCAGGTAAGTGACGTGGCACTGAAGTAGCGTAAAATCCACTTCGTGCACATAACTACAAATTTATCTTTTTATTTACAAACACACATTTATGTCAATGGCTGTGTATGATATGTATCAAGTACTTACACGCTGCCGGAAGGTATACAAATATGTCTTAACAACAGACCGCAAGTTTGTAAGAAGAAGAAGAAGCACCTAAACATACGCCTTAGGAAAATATTTGTTTTGCGTATTTTTCCTCTGGAATATGTTAGCATACGGAGCGGACGCTTGAAAGGAAATATGCTATAATCAGCAACAAGTGTTCGCTTGTTGAAACGTGCGGTAAAGTACCTTTCGTCACGCCGCTCGTTTTGAGCCAAACGAAAATTGAAGCTAAAAGTTGAGTACACCATAAATTTCATTTTAATGTTTGAAGAATAGTCATTGACCACACACAAATATATAGCGTATGAAAGTTTAAACTGACGAATGTGATGCTTTAAATTTAATAACAGCTCAACAGGTCAGACGAAATCTTAAAAACATGCAGAGTTATAAGCCCTGTTTATAACAATTATTTTTACTCTGCATAGTACTGTTCAAAGCATTGACTTTCCAGGGGCTGTCAAAACCTTGATTATCGCATGACTTTGTAGTGCCTTTCAGCGCTGAGCTGCTTCCAACAACATACATACTGTGTTGACCTTTAACGAAATGTTGAGTTGTAAGAAAAAAGTTTCCATTTCATAATTCACAGCACTTGTGCGCTTGGAAGGGTAACTGTAAGTACCTATAAAGTTTCGAGTTGCACATTGCTCGCCTGCAGCTAATGCTTCTTTTAATGTGTGGAAAGGAAAAATTGTATATTTTCATATTTTGATATTTTTTGCACAATATTGAAGCAAGTAGGCAGGAACAAAGATTAAAGAAAAAAGCAGCAGATATCAAATAAAATTCTGCTCAAGTTAAAAGCAGCTTCGCCGTACTTAATACTTCAATTAAAATAATTGTTTCTTGCGTAAAAACCACTCTTTCAAACCGCTGAAATTTACTGAACAAAATTTCCTGGGATGAAGTCGTTTCAGGACTTTTTCATACGCTCTGAAAATGGGTAAATTTAGATAACAACCACGCCCACTCCTCATATAGCGGTTATGCTGAAAACTACTAAAAGTACAATAACTCACTAAATAAATGCGCCATAAGCAACAAATTTCACAAACAAGATGTTAGCGAAGAGCTTTATAGAAGGAGGTGTACAAATTGAAAAATGGGCGTGTCACCACCAACCTTTAGGTTAAATCCTATATCTCAGGAACTATCAAACTAATTTCATCCAAATTTGGTATGTGAGGCTACCCAGCCATTACTATCACACATTGTGAAAATAAGCGAAATCGTACATCGACTATAAAACTATGCAGCTAAAAACATCAACTATCCACGCTGTCATTTGGATGGTTTGTGCCATAATTTTCGTATATCGAGCATACCACACTTTTCTCACAATAATACAAGTTTTTTTCTGTTATATTTCTGTCAGTATATATAAGGAATTATTTTTCTTTTTTTAGTTGGAAGAACTTTAAAAGCGTGTTGTTTAGTTATTAAGATTATATTTCTTAGTTTATCATACCATATCTGTCCATCCGTCTATCTGTAATTAGATAAATTGTACGCATTGTTCTAACTGTTTGCCCAAATTGTCACCACCGAAAGGGATCTATCAAAAATTACATATATATGGTCACAATGACTCTATTGTTTAAAGGCACTGAGCACTTTTTAATAGTCAATTACTAACCTTTTTCAATCAATAAATACTTACTTACGATTTATCTTGACTTGCCATTACAAGATTTAAATTTTTGTATACACACAATAACAAATATTTTGTAATTTTGGCAGTAATTTGTCCTTTGAGCTGCCTATTTTCCAAAGCAAACTTGTAAAACAAAACTTTTTAGCGTCGAAAAAAGCAGTTATACATACTCTTTCGAGTTCAATTCGCTGACATCATGTTTGCTTTTAAATGAACATGTTTTGACAACAGAGAGACGCTCAAAGATAGCGAGCAGAGAAATGGCGAATTGAAAATATTGAATATTAAAGGGTAGCCTAGTTTAATTCTTTCTTGAACGTGCACAGAAAAACAAATAATTTTTGGATAGTGAAGAATATTTTAATCACTATAAAGTACTTTTAAAATTAACTAAAAAGAGTAGTAACAATTATCTTAAATACCTTAAATTTATATTTTTGCATTAAACCCTTCGAAGTTTGGGTATACATTTTAAAGCAGAGAATTAAACTAGTTTCAGTTCTGTATTCTAAATATATTGCATACTTTTCCTACTATTATATTTTTTTACCTGAGGCAAGAAAGCACAAATAATGCTACAACTACAATAAAACTGAACAGAACTGGAAAAGAGCTCAATAGAAACTCAATAAATACTAGCCATACATTTAAAAATTGAGTTTACGTAGAATATTACATATTTAAATAATTTTTATTGCAATAGCTTTGCATTATCTATGGGACAATTAATCCCCATTTCGGTTACCATACAATCCACTTTATATACCATAATTAAGGTCATGCTTGAAATGAAAGAAATTGGTCAATACCAATTTTCCGTAAAAATTGAAAAATTATTTACAAAAATATAAAACAAAAAAAAACGTTAACTTTGGTTGTACTGAAGCTATGATACCCCTTACAAATACAAAAAATTCCTTACAAGAACATAATTGTGAACGGTCAGTTTGTATGGCAACTATATGCTATAGTGGTCCGATATCAGCGATTTCGATAAACTAAGGGACTAGTTCGCGTATATACCTAATATTCCCTGTTCAGGGTATAAATCTGAATATTATATATATGTTATAATAGAAAATGCGAATACAAAAATAATTGTAAGTAGTCTGCTATAAGAACACAATTTTCCCACTTAAAAATATGCTAGTTCGATTATATGACTAACTTACAATCGACAAATAACAGATGAAAAAATTACAAAAGAATTAGATCACTCAATATAAAAATATTAAAACTTCAAATTTTTATTCAAATTTTTTCTTTCTACAATAAGGTATAGTATTCGAAGTTTAAAATAAAACTTATATAATAATTTTTTTTACTTAGAAAATCAATAATTTAATATATCAATGTTTATTAATAATAATTTGACCATCGTATTTCAAACGTTCCCCACCCTAATAGTTTACTAATTGGCACTCCCGATATGATGATCCTTTCAGCAAGACCGCCATAGAATCACAACGGCTGGTGACAGTTGGGTATAAGAATACTAAATTAGTGATTTCGGTCCCCCAAAAGGTTTCCTTAGATAACATAAACTGCTACAAACTCCACCACTAATCTGAAAGTATTTAATTAGAACACCTTAAAACATCCAAATAAACACACATTTATTTAACTGAAACCAAGCCACATATTAATGTATAGATGATCAACCACATGGCTTATTATTCCACTCTGTTAACAAAGTTTAAACAAACAAACTGCCTTATGTACACACCCATACACAACCACAAAATTAAATACACCCACGCAAGCTACACAAATGGCGACAAATTGCTCCGCGCTGGCCAATTTTATTATGTACACATTTCCGGTTACACCTACCAGACATGTTCAAACAACATTAACGGCACGCCGACCGACATTCCACACAAGGATATATTTATATGCATGTGTGTGTGAAATCGAGCCGTCCGCACACTTCCATGATCATTGGCTTTGCAGTTTTAGCAGACGAGTCGGTTTGTAATTTACGAACATACATATATATATTGTATATGATTTTGAGCTGGCTGACACACACACATACTTATATAAATTCTTGCTGGCTAATGTACAATAACAATGCGTGTGTGGAGTGGAAATTTGCATTCTCCGATAAACTCTCAGTAAAAAAAAAACGCAGTCGACGCGGCGTATGAGCAACATTTAAGGGCAGCCAATGTTTACACTGGTGAAGTGCACAAATATGCATACATGTAGACATATTTATATGCACGCGTACTGTTTTGCACTAGACTGCGTGAAATGTTTACCATTTTCATATCGAGCACTTTTTATTTACCGTCGGCTAAATACACGTGTTGACAGCTTCGCCGTTGTGCTCCTTCCCCGGCATCGTATTTGTCTTACATACACACATTTATGTAAATGCATATATGTATATTACCTGCTGCTCTGCCATTCCGCCGGAAGATGTGGAAGCTATTTAGTTTGTTGAAGGTGCCTGTGGGGTTATGTTGATATGCAGTGAATGAAGTACAAAGCTTTGCAAAATATTTACAGAAATAGTACGTTAGTGGAATGCTGCTGTTGTTTGAGTGGTTTAAATTCTTCGCAGCGGTTGAGAATGTATGTATATGTAAATACGTTACAAATATCCTGTATTTTTCCAAGCCGGTTTTATTATCGAATAAAGTATACTTTAAGAGAAGAAATAAATTAGATTTTGCAATACTTTATAATTAATACATGGTCAGATTTCTACAAAATTATATTGAATTAATTGGGAAATATTTTTATTATTCTATAAAATATTTTACTTAGAACTGTTAGAAGAGTTTACAACTTGTTTATGATAGAAAAACTACTTTTTTAGGGATAGGATATTATGCTTGAATGCAATTTCCATGATAACTAATACTTACCGTAAATCTCATATAACTAATATAAGAACTTTAAACTTCGGACGGCTTATTTCACATACATACATATATCTCATTGTTGAAGTTGATTATAATATAAATATCTGTGATTCCACGATTAATCCATTCACGGTGTCGTCAAATAATTAATTTTGAATACCCTGAACACGGTATATAAAGTTTGCCACAAAGTTTGTAACACCCAGAAGAATATGTCGGAGACTCTATAAGGTATATACATATATGAATGGTCGGTGTGGCGAGTTGAGTATGTATACACGCGATAATTACTCCGTCATTTTTTCAGTTATCGAGATAAAATTTTG